ATAAATATGTCCACCTACAAACCTCGAGGCAGAAGTAAAAACTAACGATTTGAAGAACAACAGACATGCCGAGGTTCAAAGATGAGAGGACTTGGAATTTATCACCTCTCTGATTCCTTCAAAGCTATATGGACGCCCAAAACTTCAAAACCTTGGGCTGAGTTAAGAATTCATTCGATCGGTTCTTCATGACTCAACCTTGCACATCCAGAAAAAAGCCATTCGTGAATTATTCGCACTCGAATGAATCGCGTCTATTTAATTAAATTTATGGATTACGAGATTTTTTGCTTCACATAATTGACCGAGAACCCATGCGTGAACGGAAAGCATTCCAGTTTTATGGGTATGCCCTCTAGAACTGGAATTGGAGAAAAAATACATAGAAATTCAGAGAAGAAAATTCCTTCAAAATGAATAACAATGTAATGGATGACTGGTGAAATTCTTGATAGGAACGATTCCATTCATCGCAGTAAGGGAAGGATTGCCTGGTCAGGCAAACGGTTTTATTTTGAAAAAAAAGGGATTTTTTTGAGGCGATAGACCGATTTAATGATACGTTAAGCGTACTACGTCAAGTGAGAAAGATAAATATTGTATAAAATATTGACAGAATACACAACAATATATAATAAAAAAGTTACAAAATAAAAAAATTACAAAAAAATAATAATATAAAAAGTACGCAAAAATATACGAAACAGTACAAGTATATGTGTACAAAAATAAAGTAAAAATAGACGAATAAAGAAAAAAGTAATACAATGTAGAGCGATGAAAACCACCGTAAAACGAAGGGTCTGAGGCTGCCCAAACAAAAGTATTGTTTGTTTCTTGAATGAAACCTTTGATGGGGGTTGTCAAAAACCAGATTTACCTATTTCTACTTAAGCTAATGGATCGTGAAAGGCGACAGTTTCTCAACAAAGCTTAGGCTGAGGCTCTGGCTAGAAGACCAGCTTCACACCCATCACCGTTCGTTACTTACTGCATGAATACATTACATGTTTTGGTTTACCATCCCATTCTTGCTTTTCTGCAGGTTTGACATAAGATCACTAAAGACAGAGTATTTGCTGCTATCATCAGCCTCCCTTCTCGATTCGGAATCAGACCAACTCGATGCGACGTCCATCGCAAGGGTCAGTTGTCCGATTAGGGTGACCACCATCACCGTCCATCTTCGTTGGTCCAACTTCCATTTCGCCCAAAAATTTTTTGAGAACTAAAAGAATGGTCCCAACGTCGATCGAGGTGCGTCCCTCGTACTCGCTTTTTCACAGGCAAACGAATACAAATTGACTACGATGAAAGTGTGCTTTTCATTTGATAGTCTTAGACAGCGGCGTTTATTTGCTGTTCAGTGCTATCTGTTATTTGCTCGACCTGACCCGTACACTTGTACAGCACTTTCGTCACAAAAACACTTTCGCTCCTCGCTGTGACAGTCGAAAGCGTAGCCATTTTAGCAGTGGAAAAGCACGTTATGTTACACTCAGTAGAGCCCTTATTTATGTCGTAAATATTGACAGTTTCGTAGATTCATCCCCCACTTTCTCGGTCGGCAGAATTACGCAGATCTTCCCAAACTACTGTGAATTGAAGGCTCTGCTCTGGGCCCTGGATATACCATAGATCTCGTTTCTTTATAGCAAATTAGATACCCAAAGTTCGCCACAGATGAACCTGCCGTTCGAAGTTTCACTCACTGTACCGGTTCGTGTTCGGTGGACCGGAACAGTTTGTTATCATCCCCGAAGGAAAGCAACTTTGTCTTCAGTCTCCCATTTTGAGATGTGAGAACGGAACCTTTTGAGGTATGCGAGGAACGTGATGAAGTATGTTGCGAGAGTAATGAGATTCAAGCATCTTGACCAGAAGCCCGTTATTCTTTACAATTGAAAACGTTGTGCTTATAGTAGCGAGTTTGGAATTCTCATAGGAACCCTTGGAAATCCGAGCTTAGCAACATTTCGGAATAACGACGTTTCAGCTCGCACTGCAGAACGGCATGAGAGTAGCGCGAATTACATCACAACTCGCATCCGTTCTCCTTCGTAATCCGTTTTTACTAAAAGCAATTGCATTTTCGTCTGCAAGGCGATTCACCCCAAAGCTGAGCTTGTTACAAGAAATTGACAGAGAAACTGATATTTGTTCTCTAGATTGTACGAAGCCCCATCGCATTAGCTTCCCATGTAGTCATGAGACTTTTTAGCTCCGAATAATCTCGTTCGGAGGTAAACCCCAGCTTTGGCGAACGCGTATGTTGTCCTATATTGTAACTGGCGGGAGTCAGCCGATGTATAGTTTAGGGCTTTGACCCTCCCTTACCGATCTGGTACTAATGAACCGTTCCTGAAGAGGCGTAGAGCTTTTATGGATTGGGATGGTATCGATCTGACGATGAATCACGAACCACTCGTGTGGTATTCGCCACTCGGCGCTACACCACCATTGCCCGTATTCCTTATGCTGGGAACAAATGCCGATTCAAAAAACTGTATGTGCCAATTGAATCGCGGAATATTGCACTTGGAAGTTCCCAAGAAAACGTTTCTGTCAAGGTTTACTTCAGACGGGTCAAATGTGAATTGCTAACTGCAGACAGTCCAATACCAGAGTCTCACATACACAAGAAGAAACGGGGATTCTCCTTCATGTCCAAGTCCAAAGTGGCTTCCAAGCGTCAAGAGGCTACTCAGATCAATGAGTATTTACTTAAGGGTTTAGTATTTAGGTAGTATTTATTTGCCTTCCAGTCAATTGATCGATCCTTCTTCAAACTCCTATTTACCTAAGATAATACCTCTGGGGAACGTCTATACTCCGTAAGAACAGGCTGTTCATAAATTTTGAAAGCATTTCAATGGTTTGGACCACTCCATTAGGATGGCAACATCAGTTTCAGTGAGGTTTCCCTTCCAACATCTTTGATCAGTTTCTTTTAGATGTCATGACCTTCTCTAAACTTTTACCCACCATCCCCTTTTTCTCCCTGTATAACTATACAAGACGAACGCTTTCGTTCTGGAGGGAAATTTGCAAAGATCCGATTAGATTTGGTCAACAAAATGCATTTAAGTTCCAAAGCCCCCTATTGATACGATTGCGTGAGAATTTCATTGTTTTCCCCTTCCCAGATCTCTCAGTTGCCCTTGCCCGTTCTTAACCCATGTTCTTCCAACAGTCAGCAATGTGATACATCCGTATTCTTGATCCTCTACAAGTTGTAATGTTCCAGATGTAAAGTGAGTAAAACTACTAATTTCCGGTCAAACACACACACATTCATAACTTACTCACACATACATACACCAATTGATACATCTGACGACAATGTATTATATTGTATCCAAAAGTGATAGAAATGAGAAAGTCAGGTTTGGCTAGAGCTTCTCTGGGTCCCGAAAGTCTGGCGATAAGCAAAGGTTCTACCATCTTTTTCCAATAAAAATTAGAAATTTCCGGTTGAACACACACATCCACGACATTTACACTTAGCAATTCCATACACTAAGGCATTAGAATGGCAGAATTCGTAGTGATAGCAGCTGATGGTCTAAGAGCATTTCCAGATGGTGACAAACTGGACGTCGCTCCGGACGGAACTCGTTCAATAGAGTAGTAAGAAGGTAATTGAAGCATTAGATATACTGGGAGAGCAGCACTTTGTTGAAGTCAAGGGCCGTGCTCTACGATGGGACAGACCTCAAGAGTCAAGCAATACGGTTTCCCACCATGGTTTCGATAACAGAAAATATGAAGACAGTACCAAAAGTCGTCATTGACGGAGTAAACAAATGCTTCGGACGAATGAAAGGCTTACCATTAGCTGTTTGTCTGTATTTACGGCATCCAATTGGGGGCACAGCTTTGCGTCCACCGAAGGATTTCACGGGGCAATTCTGAAGCAAAAAATGAAATTGGCGGGGGAACAAAAAGTCAGATTACAAGAATTGTCCGAAAACATTAACTTGCTTACCCGTAAAAATTGTTCATAATCATTTTCACATTCGGGATGAGTTATCGAGTTACAAATGTAACACTGAATGCTGTACACTCCACCAACAAATACGGACAGTAGGCAAAGGATTAATAAGTTCATCCTGAAATTACTTGTGTAAGAAAAGCGTCAAGTGGTGACTATTCCCAGTCAACGTATATCCAAAGACACCCAAAGGTGCGCCGTGCAACAGAAAAGCAGAAACATTTAGGTAATGTTTCTATGTCAACGTCTAAGCAAACAGAAAAAAATCGAAGAAAGAAAAGGAAGAAGCCTGAAGGTAAAGTCCAGGGCTGAGAAGAAAAACAAGCCTCCCTGGGGGAAAGGCGGAACAGAAAAAGAAAGAAAAAACAAGGGGCAAGAAGATCGTATGAAAGAGCCATAGTGGAACAATACAGAGACCTCTCTTGTGTGCACGGGAGGGGCTGTGTCCCCTATAGAAAGAAGGCTTCTCTAGGAGACCAATAAGAGGCGACGGCATGGGGCTTGCTAGCAAGTTAGCCCGATACGAGCGATTCTGTTTGGCACCCAGGGCGAGTAAAAAAAGTTGACCTCAGGCGGAGATGTTCATGGTCCTATAAGCTCCTTAAGTAGCCACTCAGCTG